ATTAGTTTTGAACTAAATCGTAGCTTTCTAACGAAACATCGCCTGAAAAACGTCTCAAAATGCACAAAAACTGCATCCAGAAATCAAATTGCCTAGTTTCTCATGATAATTTTGGTGTTCAGACATTCTAGGATGATTCATATGTCCCATGTACTTTTTGCAGTACACATAACTCTCGGATGAAATACGAAGTTTCCACATTTTTCAGTACTTATTTGATTATCAAATCATTATGCAGCTATATAGAGTGTAATGTTGAAAAATTGAATTATTAGTTAAAACTAAGAATTTGAAAAGAAAAAGATAAACAAAAATGATAGATGCAATGGTAGAAAATGTATCTAACATATTTCTCATGTCAAGAAACAGCTGCAGTAATATGTTTTATTTTCATTGATCCAGAAATAGACGCGTTTTTCTTTTGTACAGCACTTTTTCTACATTTTTCAAAGTATGGATCTATGCAAAACAAACGATATTTGCTACGATTCAACTATTCCAATAGAGATAGCATCTATCTTTAGTGCACTTTTTTAGATTGGACGTACATAAATGTATAACCAAGTGATTATTTACTACGTTAACATTATGAAACTTTGACAAGAGAAATTTGCTCATAACTCTGAATGTGTACAGCATACTGAATTAAATTGGTCAAATGAATTAGTTTTATTGAAGTTCACTTTCTGTTGAATCTACTATGACATGTCACAATGACGATAATGAAAGATAAAAGCCAAAGATGCAGCAACTTCTGGTCTCAATAACGAAGCAGACATCAACACACTATTTAGAACCATACCATTAGAATAATGGAAATGTCACAAGAAGATATAACCTAATATGAGAAAATGATCAAGCATCCACGACAAGCGACGAATGATTCTTATCTCAATTTAAAAGATTAATCGAACCTATGATGATATGAATAAGACAATAGGAATAGTAGACGTACGGAGAATGACACAAAGATAGAATCTATCGACACTCATTTTTTATGGAAAGGCTGTTCAACTTGTAGAAATTTTTTTCTATGATATAGTAAGTAACCGATATCTTGTAAGTTTCAACATTGATGCGTTTTAACCATTGTTTTATGAATGATACAACAATGATTGGAATTCTTTCGATACAAAATAGTTATTTATAAAGATGACAATACAGTTTCTCAGGTACCATTGAAGCATCTTCAGCCATAATGACCTTACCCTTGTTATTGAAGAAGAAAAACAACTAGTCCTCTCACTAATGATTGTTCCTGTCCATCTTCTTTTTCTTCCGTTACTTTTCTTACAGAATATAGTATGTTCTGTTAGCTCTTTCTCGCTAAGAGAGAAGACGCTAGGTTTACATCTGTTGATTATTACTTTCTTTTCTTTTATGCTTCCATCGTCCGGGAACAGCATGGGACGACATAGCATTGCTTATTTTTTTATCTGGGTTCATCGTAGCATATTATCATAGAAGCTACTTCTTGTACAGCGAGCGAACAGAACAACTTCGCCAATAGTAGAAAATCAGGATAAGTATATCGTGAAACTCGAGTTGAGTCATTCGTAATCATTAACGAAATACCTCATTATTCTTTGTACTTATTTATTCACAATTCGACGATTTTGATTTTTTTTCTTCTTTTCTAGACTTATTCACCAAATCAAACTAGGAACTCTGCATCATCATCTACTACTATCATCTCTATGTTGATTGTACCCAATAAGTTATCTTATTATTATTATTATTATTAATATTAATATTATTAGCACATAGGCAACAACTAATAATCGACTTAGAATAAATATTTTTGACCGTGTAAAATTCTATTATGAAAAATAATCATCACGATAAAAGCGACATCATAACAAATACAGTAACAAATCCAACAGCGGAAGCAGCTGTCCAACGAAATATTCAAATACTGCGTATAACGCTTGCTTTGACGATTCTCTCATTTATTACTTTTTCAATAATACTTACATCAAGTTACTGGGTGGTGCTTACGTATCCGCCTGATTTTTTTTTAAAAAGACACAATCTATATGTTGTTCGAGCTACTTATGGTCTCATTTGGGAATGTGTGGTCGGTAGACCAACACTAAATGCTGTATATGGTACGTATTTATTATTGATATATCATCGTTACATTGTTGTCTCCAAGATTATAGTTATATCAAGGCTAAAACATATTGCTAACAGGCGTCATATGCTATTGAGATAGAAAGCATGACATTCTTAATGTATATGATATTTCTAATTTTTTTTTCTTTTTATAGACAATAAATGTGATTATCATCAAAATCAAGTTTTTAATGAATCTTCTTCAGCTGAGCAAACACTAATAGGTACGATTGATTTTCTTTATCGTTTTTGATAATCAACTTTATATTTATATATTGAATTATAGGAATGATTCGTACAATGCTTTCATTTAGTGCCATTCATATTCTTCTACTAATAATCACATTTATTTGTGGTTTATATAGTATTCGTGAATATCGATATACATATAAAAGATTAACAGGAATGATTTACATTGTTACTGGTAAAAACAAAATTTTAATGAAAAAACAAAATTTATTTTTGTTGTTCATTTTATAGCTGCTTCTCTTCTCGTTTGTATGGAAGCATTAAGTATTATATTTCGTCATGTTAGTGTACATTTACCAGATATGTATCCTCCTGGTACCACGCATTCATATAGTGTTTGTTTTGTTCTTTCTTGGTTAATTGTTATTCAATTAGTTGCTTCATCTTTTGTCTTTTTTATTTGTAGTAAAAAAAGAAAAGGTACATTTGATGAAGCAACAGAAGAAGAGGCTATGGCCAATTTAACTGTTGACCTTGGTCGTATTTAAATCATAAATTTTATTCCATTCACTACACAATTGCACTTGAAACATATTTCCTTTTCTCTTCTTTTTTCTCGTCATTGTTTCTTTTGTTCAATAATCCGTTTTTGTTTTTACTTCAATGACAACAATTGAGATTGTATTCACACCCCGCACATCTTTTTTAATTGTATATTTGTACGATTATTTCTTTTCAATCGAGAACAATCAAGCATTTAGTTTATCTTGCATAATTCTACATTCATCATTACCATAACATATACATTTGAAACAAATTAAGGTAAACATATAAGAAACATAGCTATCGGACCGAAAAATGAATATGATTATATCTCTGGCTTAAAATATTATTTAAGTTGTGCGTCATAGAAATGCATGGAGTACAAAGTAGACACACCGATACAGAATGGCGCTAGTAAAAAGAGCATTCAATGTTTTCGATTCATTCTTTTAGTAGAATTTGTCATAAACATCCTTTTGAAATACTAATCAATCTACAACTATCATGGAAGCAAAAATGGATAATCAATCTCCGGATGTGTATTGTTTTCTTTGTATTCACTAGTCGCAACTGATGTCACTACAATCTATATATGAATCATGTCATTCATAGAATCAAATAAATACAGATCGACATGTACCTAACTTACGATGGTACAATAGCTGTTATAGGTTTCTTGAATAATAATAAATTTCAAAAGATACGTTGTATTACATTAAAGAATGACTTTCAACTATGAAAAGATGATGGTAATTATAGTTTCTTCAGGGAATATAACATATCTTGCTTCTTGAATACATGAAAACAACAATAAGTGTAAAAAGGAAACTAACATCTCGTTATAATACTAGTATTCATAAGTATACTCTGCCGTCAACCGACAATTTTTCCATTGAAGCTCGTCCACGATACAAGCCTCGATATTTACGTATGCATCTAAACTTCCTTGAAAGGAACTTTTTTTACTGCATAATATCATTTATTGATTATGAAAAAGAAGAATGAGATTGTTTAAAAAAAAGCAATTGAGAAGACACCATTCATTTCAAAACTATTGAATCTATTCAGTTGCTCATGCAATGGTTCTTCTATCAACGAATCTTTAAATTAGCCTTTTCTAATTCTGAATATATTGTTACACAATAAGAAAATTAAAAGCAAACTTTATCAACATACTAACTAGCTTAACCTAGTTTATTACAAAGTATGAACATTGGGATGATAAAGAAGCATTCGCAACAATATATGATGACAGTATGTACCAGTAGTTAATCTGACTAATATAAATGAGGATAAAAAATACGTACACTCTAAAGTTTCAAATAGTATTTTATATCAGATCATTTTTCAATAACTTTTAAATGACTGAATGTCGTTGGATGCTAACATTTACAGATTAGTGCATTACAAATTCAATTTTTGAAAGAAAATGAAGATAATTCACATCGTATCGGACCGTTACTTGATGCCAAAGATATTGTTTGACAAATGAACATAAAGGGTTGCTGAATACTCTATGAAGAGTTCTAACAATTCTCTATCTGAATTTGATAGAAAATGATGGACAGCGATTAGCATAGAGCTAGTTGTCCTTCCAAAGTATTAGAGATATGAATGGATTGTTTCTGTAGAAAATTTGTTTTTGATCTTTTAACTATTGCCTGATCATTGATCAACGTGCGCCGATATCAAATACATAATAATGCTATTTTTTGGTATGGTAAAAATGTTTTTGGTTAGCATACTTAATCGATAAAAGAATGTTTAATCAAACAGAATAACTTATTCCTACTAAAAATTCTAACTTGTACTTGTGTCACAAAGCCTATACATTGATATCATCTGTTGAGACTGATCTATTTGATACCTTGTACATAGATTATAATTTTAGATTTGTTGTAACCATTACTTTTCTATGAATGTTTCGTATTTACTTGTTAACTAATAACCATGAACTGAGACGATGTTATTGTAAAATAATTATTTGCGTTGTGTTGGAGACTCTTTCTGAACAACAATAAACATTGGCTTTTCTTCTAGAATACACAACTCCCTCATTTTAAATTCAAGTAATCGATATTGCAATGGTTTCGAAAATTAAAGATTTAAATATTTCAGAAAGTTACGCTTAATAAAATTCATGAAAGTAATGCTTTGCAATAAATGCAACAAAAATAAGTCAAAGAACATAGTACTCATTAAATATTTGTTTTCAACAATTAATTTCATTCTTTTCTATTACATCTTTTTACTTGTTGTGATACAATAGCAGATAGATATTCATATTTTCATTCGTAAAGAATGAATTCAAGAAGAAAAAATGAAATAAAACTTGTTTGGTAGGATTGTTGATTTTATTTAACATTGAACATATCAACAAAAGGTCAATAATGGCATTATGCATTATAAATATTTCTTACGGTATCAAGAAAAATAGATAACATATGGATTGTATACATACTAGGAGGTGTTAATAGCTTGAAAATAAGTTAGATCATCAAACATCCTAATGTCTTTTTCTTGATTTGTTTTAAGTAATCCATTCATATTTATTTACGTTGTTACGAATGGATTTTTTTTATTAAACAAAATCGATAGAATATAATGATATGTTGGATTCAACGGATAGGTTTTTTTGTCTTAAATGTCTAGTTTCATCGATTTATCTTAAAAATCAAAGGTAAAACACATATTACATTAAGATTGAAGTCATAATCATTTGATGCAAAGCATATGTTCGCGAGACTCGTCGCGTATTGTATATACAAATACTTAATTCGCTTCATGATATGATAGTAAGCTCAATGTTTAACATTAATCTTATTTTGCTCTGTATATTCAAAATGAAAATATGCTTAATACAAAAAAAAACACAGATACATAAAACTACAAATATTTATCTCAACGGAAAACAACTATTTGCTCTTAGCCTTTCCTTTTCTTTTCTCAAAATAGTTTAATCTCATAGATATTAGAAAAAAATACTAATCATTACTACAGATTGTATGCTTAATTTTGTTTTATGACTACTATTTACTAGTATTTTCTTACGATTGAGATAACAAATGATGTAATATGCTATAAAATAGCCATTTTCTCATTCTTTTGATCTTCTATCATGGTACGCCAAAGTGTTAATACGTAACTTTCTCTTCGTTTTTATTTCACTACTACTACTTAATCTGACCATGAAAGTAAATATTCTAGATAAAAATGAAAATTCCTCTTGACAGTTACATCCTAAAGTTCAACACTTAGAGCAATATATATATATATAAATACGGAGAAGTGTAAAAGGTTAATTTGAAATGACTACTACTGATATAGTTCACAATATTGAACCACAGTAATTGATTAGGTTTCCCGTCAATTGAACAATAATATTATCTTGACGATCAATATCTGTATGGATGCACTTGTAATGATAACATCATTTTTTTAATAATACTAATAGTGATGAAGTTGTCGTTTTAATTTTTTTTAATTTTTTTTTTGTTTGGTTTCTATTATGACTTTGCATGCCGATTCATTTCCTTTTATTGATGGATTGCTTATTATAAGACATACGTCTATGAACGAAAGAATGTAAACATCCTTTTAGTTATAATTATGATTATCTATTGCCAACGGCATGTAAGAGAGAGAGAGAGAGAGAGAAACAAGGTTCAGTGCAAGTAGCTATTTGTTGAATGGCAGCACAAGGCAAGAGAAAGAAATTCATGGCTCTTTTACTTGAGAATGTGTATGTTATGTTGTATTCAATAGAAAGGTCTTCTTTTTTCTCCTGTTCAACATTAGCAGGTATCATTTCTTTCTTAGTTCTTTTAGTATTATCGATAAGTCCAGGAGATTTTTTTTTCTTCTGACTTCGTGTTCTTTTTTCTTTTTCTTCTTCTTGTTCGTGTATTCATCGTGTTGATTGACCATATGCATGATCTCTTTAGCTATCTTTTTCTCTCTACAATGCACAAAATAGAAAAGACAATAGAAGGTGATCGATATTGATTATAAAACGGAACTTATTCGCATAAAATTTATTCTTCAAAATCATCAACATCCGCCTGACTGCGTATGCATTTTCATTACATAAACCTCTATTGACGATGATTGAACGACATAGTCGTCTGTCTGTTCTTTTTGAATGACGGTGTTACTAGTAAGTAGATCGAACATATTAATTACACAGGTAAAGAAAGAGAATAATAACGATGATGAACACCAGGCAGGCAACGTGTATAGATGCCCTTCAACATTCTTGGGAATTGCAAACAAATGTAGAGAAAAATGAAGAACATGGTTTATTGTTCAATATGTGCACATATGTGTTTGTACAAATCTTGGCAGGCTGGCTCCGCTCTCTTGCAATCGACATAGGCAAGGCCAGGAAGTGCTATAAAATGATGATGGATTACTTGGCAACATACGTGCAAGCATTCTTTATCAGTTCATTGCTACTACACCAGGGTCAATCGATATGAGCCGACGACAGTAGGAATAATTTCTTTTACCTTAGTTATACGTATATCTCTAAAACTATACCTAACAAAACAAAACAATGATATTCTCTATCATCTAATTATTCAGCTGAGTACTCGTGCATTCTCTATCGATTTGTTATATAATATATATATATATATATACATATAATGACTCGACTATCAGCTTCGTGTTTACAACACTTTCTTTGTTATATTTCATCTATATCTCGTCACTGTTAAAGTAGAATGCTCATTTTTTTTTACGTAACTTGAAGGTGTAGAATTGAGAAAATTCAATCGATCAAAATAATTACTGTAAAAATGACGAACACGTACAAACGCTGAAGGGACTCAAATGTCTGTTGATGATTTCATTGAAGAGACAAGTCTTTTTATTTTTATTTTCTTATAGTTCGTCGTTGATGGTGTATCATCAAAAAACGCTAGATAAAACAAATCAGAGAGACAGAGACAGAGCGAGACAGAAAAACGCCATCGCCTTCATTAAATACTTGCTTATACAACGACTTATTTTTGAGTTGTGTTGCATGGACGCTAAAGAAAAAAAATACAATAGACCTATAGATGTTCACCGGTCTGTGCATGAATAGTTGCTATGCGCATATGGACTTATCGAACAAAAAATGATTGTTATAAACGTGTCACATTGATAGAAATTAATTCGTTTTCTTTCTTCTCTTTTTCCCTTTCTTTTTCTGTTATTTCTTTTCGCATATACTATTGAACTTACATACGCTCATAGGATGTCTTTGTAGATGGGAGTGTTATAAACATATTTTGTTTTTAATGGCATGTTACATATATTAGGCTTGCAAATAAAGAACACTAAAGCTCGCCTTTGGCTAATCTGTTACTCTCTCTCTCTCTCTCTCTCTCATGCATATAGTATGTATACTATACACATTATGAGATGGATTGTCAAGGAACTTTTTTCCTTGTACAGATTGCCATGATGATGTGATTGTTGGTGTTATATGTGTGTGTGTGTGTGTCCTCTTTCTATATAATTCATAGTGGGACAATGTTGTTCGATTATCTTAATGTGTCCACTCATTTTATTGAGTTGTTCTCTTTCTTTCTTTGTCTCTTTTATATTATAGCTAGTTTACATAAACATTAAGTACTCTTACGACAATTATTACTCATATTGGCGATGGTTTTATAGAATTAACTGGTATACAATGTACGATAATTCTAGTGAACCCTTTTATACGAATATTTCAACTCGTGCCTGTCGTCTACAACACAGCGGTTGGTCACTAGAACGATCAAATGTTTTGAAGCAATCATCAGACGCATCTACTGAAACACTTTCCCCTTCATTTTGTTATCCTTATCCGCAAAGACCAAAACAAACGCTTCCACCAAATTATACAAATTATTATCCATCACCATCGTCATCACCAGCGCCTCACATATCTAATTATGAACGCCCGAAATCAACAATTCTATATGAATCGACTCCAAAAAACAATTCAACATTTCATGTTAACGATCTTCGTCAAAGATATGAATCTAAAACTTTAGTAGGCATTGTCAAACCAATGGTCCATCAACGATCGTACACTCAATTGAACAGTTCTAGCAACGACAGTAAAGTTCCTGGCATGCCAATGAATAATGGATTTCATCACAATTCAACGCGTTCTTTATATCCACCACCGATACCACAAACACTTTCTTCATCATCATTAACGTCACCTATTGTTTATCGAGCGCGTCCAACACCATCTCACAATAATACCAATGGTCAACCACCTATGGCACCACGTCGATATTCATCAATCAGTATGAATAAACGTACATCATCTCATCGTTCATCAAGAACAACATCAACATCATCGTCGATCGTTGGTATTAATGAACTTTCATCGGCCGTATCACCACACCAAAATGAACATCAAAATGGTGATACGACGATTGCTGTGGATGTTAAGCGCCTTGAAATGTTTTATAGTAGTGTTGGCACATTAGTTAAATCGGCTCGTTCAATAGCACGTCTCTATATAACAACAACACGACAGTTGGCTAATTTTGAAGATTGGTCGTGTCAGCAACTTGGTGTTCCTATTTGGATTTATAATACAGTTTGTATTCTCAGATTGCTCATAAAATGTTTTTAAGTTAATTAGTTAATTGCTTTGTTTTTCTTAATTTTAAGGGAGCTAATTTGAAACGAACAAGGCAAGTTCAATTAATACTTGCACAACATGAAAGTTGTTTTGCCGTATGGTCAAGTTTAATATCTGATCATGCCGAATTACGTTTACCAAAAGATAACTATATAACATGTTGGCTACCAGAATCGAATATGCTGGCTGTATTTAAATTTGAACGAAATGACACATGTCGATTATTTTTCCGGCATTATTATGAAATATTAGAATATGAACGACGAATGAATTTAGCAAATCCACCACCATTACCAGCTGAAAGCAATGATTTACAACAAAACAACAACAATAATAATAATAATAGCAATAATAAGGAAATTCCACGTCGTTATTCACGTTTGAAAACGATATCAAATAAACCAGATAAAGAACAACAACAACAACAATTCGAATTACGTCGTTGTCGAAGTCTATCTAAAATTCGAACAGTTAAAAAATCGGATATATCAGGACCTATTAATTTCGAACATGTTAATCATATAAGTAATGGTAGTAGTCAACCAAAACCACGACCATTATCAGGGTCAGTAACACTTCGTTCGTTACATGCTTCCATGTCGCACTTGCCTAATAGTGGTAGCATAATGGAACGATTTTTTAATCAAAATAAAAAGCGTGCTTCGGCTTCATTTGAACCAAGAACAACAGCTGTTTAATAAGTGATTCTTTGTTTGTCAAGTATCTTTTCTTTTGAACGCGTCTTTAACTAAATGACAAGTCTTGTAAAACTTATTCTCGACTGTTTAGAAAAATAAATAAATAAATAAATAATTATATATAAATAACATTATGCATATACTATTTCAATAAAATATATATATATGGATATATGTAAATCCTTGGGATTAAGAATTAACTATTGAGTATTTCATCTAGTGTAATGAGTTTCTTATCATTGATGAATATCATATTTGAATAAACGAAAGATTATTAAAATATGACAATCCTATAATAGGATTCTTCTTCTTCTGTTTGCCAGAAAGTTTTCATTTTTTTCATTGATCAATTTTTGTGGTTTAAAAAGCAATCTATTTCTGATTGAATTTTGAATATTCTTCAGTAGAAGAATTTCAAAATAAGGATGCAAAATACTTGTTTTTTTTATTTTTGTTTAAATTCTAATAAAACAAATAGATATTTGCATAATACTAAATTTGTAAGCAGTCAGATAATGAACTACAAGTTTGACCATAACCTATATAAAATAGTACCGAACGAATTCATCAGAATATTACCAGCTCTTTTTTCAATAGGGCGATGTCAGATCTAGCTCACATTGCTTTATACGACTATGAAATAGATTCAGAAAGGATCATGTTGAAAATTATCTCTCTTGTTTTTTTTCACCTATTTTTTGGAGTATACTTCATGAATAATTTTGTTAACCTCTCTTCCACAATCATAAACTAGATGGTATTCAAGTTTTACTCGAATACGAAATGCGATGCGAAGCTCGAATCGGATCTTCACGAAAAATCTACGATGCAGACAAAACTTGAACACTATTTATGTCGACATGATGAAATTCATCACTGAGAAAACTCCATTCTTACTTAGCGATACATTCTTAAGGATCGGTTTCGATTGATCGATTAATTATCTCCATGATTCATTATCTTAGATCAGCTGTAAATGAATAGACTATAGTGGATAACATATGTTCATGACGTCACTTTAATTATCGCTTGATAAATTTCTTTCATTTTCGTCATTTTGGAACCACATTTCTGAGTGAGCGGAACTTTAGTTTAAAGATTCGAAAACAGATGTTCTCAGTTCGATCTTGATACTTCGATCTCACGTTTCAACGAGTTTTCTGCGATTTTCGGTTTTCGAGATCATCGCGTCACAAAATGACAAATTTGATGCGTACGCCTAGTTAAAAAGTATGAAAAACTAGATGGTATTCGAGTTTCACTCGTATACGAAATGCGATGCGAAGCAGGAATCTGAATTTCCTACGAAAAATTTTCAACTGAAAGAAATCTTGAATACTTTTTATGTAGCCATAGTGCTATTCATCACTGAGAAAACTCTATTCTTACTTAGCGATACATTCTTAAAGAACGATTTCGATTGAACAATTAATTATCTCCATGATTCATTATCTTAGATCAGCTGTTAATGAATAGACTATACTACCTAACATATGTTGATGACGTCATTTTAATTATCTCGGAACAAATTTCTTTCATTTTCGTCATTTTGGAACCACATTTGTGAGCGAACGGAACTTCAGATTGAACATTCGAAAACAGGGGTTAGCAGTTCGACCTCGATTCTACTAGCTTGCGTTTAAACGAGGTTTTTATCATTTTTGGTTCTCGACATCATCGAGTCACAAAATGACGAAAACGATGCGTACGGTCAAGTAAAAAAGAAAAAAAAAAACTCGCGACGCATAACAGAAATGCTTCCTGCTTCGCATCGCATTAAAAAAACTCGCGACGCATAACAGAAATGCTTCCTGCTTCGCATCGCATTAAAAACTCGCGACGCATAACAGAAATGCTATGCTTCGCATCGCATTAATAAAAAAAACTCGCGACGGACTACATAAATGCTGTGCTTCGCACCGCATTAATAATTAATTTATACGAAAAAGTACCCAAATTAAAGATGAAAGACGGACAGGTGGGAGAGATGCTGAGTCTTACCTAGCCACTAAAATGAATGGTTCGGAAATGTCACGATAGTTAACTCACCACCACTTCCACAGGATTCACTCATGGCTTGTGGCTTTAAAATGGCCATTAGTATCATCGAAATGGTCGCTTGTGATAAGATCACGGTTAAGGAGGCGAACAAATCGATAAACGTACAAATAGACAGATACAGGTGAATTGCGGTTTTATATTCCATCCTTTTAGTCTAGGAAATATAAGAAATGTGAAGTGACTGGATAGTGATGAGGGTTATTTTCCTTTAGAACACTGTTTAGAATCATCGAGAATAATTGTGAAAAGATTTCACGACTTCAGGGTTAAAAAGATAGCATTGAAACGTGCTTTCTCATCATATAATTTGCCTGTGCGGTATATTTATGATTAGCATCATTATTCATTCATGCATTGTTAGCCATTATCAATCGTATAATTTATGTATCATTCATCCTTAAAAATTAATCAAATCTGTAGTCAATTTATGTTATTGATGAAAATATTACCACTAAAAACAACTCTATTCAATTGTTCTATCATTCACGTTCAGTTTTTCATGAAAAAATTATCGATTTAAAAGATGTGTAGCTTGATGATTTTTAATGCATTTTAATCTGGCATATTCAAATTCGAAGAGTAAAGCATTTTCTACTGGCAAGTATATTCACTGGTGTTGCCGTAATGTGACGACGAAACATGACGATTAAAATTCATACTTCTTGTTAAAAGTGTAATTTTCAGATGTAATTAGAGACTATCAAAATAATTTTACATACAAATTTACTTAATATTAATCAATAGGAATTAATTTTGGTTTGATTGCAAGCAAAGGCAACCTTTCACATGAAAACTGTGATAATAGACGGGTGTATGTTTATAAGTAACTTCAGATGTACAAGAATAAAAATGTTCAGATGATGAATTTTTTAATTGTCGTAAACCAATTGTACTGGGTAATACTAGGTTTTCCTCTTCTTTTTGCTGTATTATTTTTCAAGTTATATCTTTTATTAGTATCTACAATTAGTACAAATGCAAAACAAACTAACGACATAATAATAATCCTATACTGAAAGGAAGGGGGTACATTTGATCATAAAAATATTTATTTCTGCATCAATACTGTCGGCTTCATGCCAATACGGCTTACCTTGCTTATTTATCTTTTTCCAATCATAGAAAGCAAAACACGTGTGCGCTAATACTACTTTTCACTTCACTGCGTCGTGTTGCATCTCTCAATTTTTCTTGGATGCTTCTGTTTACCTTGATTTTATCTCTTTCACCACCTCAAGGCAAGCGAAGTAATGTGTGCATAACCATCGAAAACGTTTTGCATTGCGTTTTTTGTCTAGCTTTTTTTTATTTAACGAACGAGATTCTCTTTCTCTCCGATTGGTCGAATGATTGAAAGCAAACGGATTTTCAAATATTGCGTACATTGCATTTCAGCCCTGTTGGTAAGTATTATTCAAAGCTTATTCGATTATTTTTACAGTAGTACTGTTATATAAGATATTGCTCACTTTTTCATGTGTGTATACTACAAGAGGGAAAATGTGAACTTGAAATCGAAAAAAGCGTCAAAGTAGAAACTTGACGAAGTTTAAAGTATCACTCAAGTAGTTCGAAAACAAGGCCAAGTAACTGGAAGTAAATTTGAAATCGATAAGCACTTCACAGCAGCGAAGCACAACTGTAAGCACACATTTTCATTGTTTCTCTCTTGTCTGTAGCTGTACAGTATACCACCTATAACGTTATTGTACGGCATTACTCAAGAGAAAGTGTCACCCTCTGTACAACATGAAAAAGGTTTTAATACAGTCGTCACAAGATTAAAATATAAAATACGATAATGTTACTCCCATTGCAGACAGGGATATTGTATAATAAAATAAAACATGATATTCAGCATTTGCTTTGAAATAAATTGTGACTTGTAAGAATATCGACTGCGGTTTCAAGCTGCTCCGACATATCAAGAGAGATAAACGCCAAATCAATTACTTTGAAGGTCATGCTAACTATTTACTATTGATGAAACAGCAATTTATTGACTCTTAGCTGGTTAACCAGCTAGTGGCAATTTTGGTGATTGTTACTCCTTCAATGCTGCTATCATAGCCTGTAAATTGCTGTACAAGTCATGCAAATGCAACCATTTTTTAAACAGTAACTCGGTGCAGTATTTTTATCGTAAAACATCTAATTTTTATATTTTGTGTAAGTTCGAATAGTTATGGTCAGAATAGGGAAAAAATTTAGTCTAGAGTTTGAAAGTTAAACAATTGCAGCACCTGTGACGCCAGATCATTTTTCGGGAATAATCAATGCATTCATATAGCAAAATATCCTCACTTCAGTGAGATATGGATATTATTTGTGTACGAGGAATAATTTTTAATTATCGTAACAATATATCCTTATAACTTAAATTGTTGGGTGGCATGAGACATAAAATATTACGATGAAATAAAAATAACTTCTTTTTATCTCACCTATTTATATATTCTATATACAATAATTTCAAGCTTACAGTACGATATGAGACGAGTAGAGTGCGAGTGTAATTATTACCCCTTGACAATTGAGTCTTTCTGAATAGTACGCCGTTTTGTCAGACAACAAGAGTTAGGATTATATACCAGTTAATGGTAGACATAGATCGATTGCAAACAATACTGATAAGTGCTAAAATAGAACTTGAGTAGAGCCGTCTCATATTTATATTCCTCAATTAATAATCATTTGTTCTTGTGACAAATTATATCTGTGAAAAAGATAGACATGTACTTCTCTAATGATTTTAGTATTACACAACATCTAGAAAGAATTTATCCTTTTCACAAACTTGATTTAAAAGAAAAAATCGGAAAGGTTCTATGTGCATTTTTATGATTAAAAACTAGCATACATAAATTATTAGTAAATTGTTAGCTGTAGAGGAAAATGCAAATTTCAATGCTTGATACAGATCACTCTTATTCTTTGAAAACATTGATAGGTAAACTTTCTATACAATCAGATCAACGATTACGAATTTCGTAAACGGATGTAAATCATCGTGCACGGATATGCTCACCATACGGCCGTTCTGTTTTCTCCGTTTACGACCTTACCTGTTCTATCTTAGATAACAATTAACACAAAGAGTCATTCCGTGGTAGTTAGCTCTTTTGTTATTGTTTATTAACAGAGATCTTACTTTATTTTGAATTTTCTTTGTAATGAACGAACGAACGATATATGAATAGAATATATATGTTAAAAAAGAATTTCTTTTTATATATCAGTTTAGTCTTTCTAATCATATCACGATGTAGAAGATAATACAGAACATTGATGAACTTCTCCTACTGTTATACCAGAGATTAACTATCGTTGAATAATATTTTATTCATAATTAATTTTAATTATTATCATTATAGATCAATTGTTTCTTATTTCATGTTCAGTATTGCCTCGAATAGCCGTTCGCTTTCTCTCTTCTATCTATGTTCTAGATTGTAAATAGGGTTTTATCATGACCGTGCCGTCAAGGAACATTCTCGAAATGCTTTTCGAAGTAGCACTTACCTCTCCACAACAAGTTGCGATTGAATTCGAAGAACAGACATGGACATATGCCGAACTACTCATGAATGTGATCTGTATTGCTCGTCATCTTCAAGTCGAATTAGGTGATATCATCTACCAATATGTTGATCCTAGTATAGAGATGGTATGTGGACTATTAGGAATCATGTGTGCTGGTGGGGCGTATTGTCCGCTAAGTCCGAGTGATCCATCTGCGTATGTTCGTACATTGATCGATGAAACTCGAGGCCGATTTGTTCTTGTTCATGGAAATACATGTGATAGATTCTCAAGCATGATTAGTCAACAAATTCATATGATCAATATACAACATATTTTACTAGCTGACACTAGAGAAGAAGCGCCTGAGCAAAGTAATTGTTTGTACTTTATTTTGAACAAGTTCACATACTGAATTCGTTTCTCAGATATCCACGTCGAGAGCAATACCTCGAGTTTTATTGTTTGCACATCTGATGCAAATGGTCGACAAAAAATTATTGTACACACACACGCATCTCTTATAGCAGGTGTTCATAATCTAATAAGTTGGGACACCAATCACAGTGACAAAGTTCTTCAAATAGCTGAGTCATCGTGGGCCATTCATTTGTTTGAAATTTTGATGCCTCTTTTGACAGTTCCTTCTGGCACACTAGTGCTTTTACCGTCTAGCGCTACTTTGAATATGACCCGGTTCTGCAAGACTATCAAAGACAAGCAAATCACAATTTTCTTTGCCGATTCATCGTTGCTTAAAAAATTGCTTGAATACTTCGAGCTCAACGATATAGAGCGTAGTGAAACACTAGAACGAGTACGCATCCTATGGACATCGAGTGAATTTTCTAAACCAAAATATTTGGCTAAAATCAAGTCTTATTCTTCGCAAACTCGTATCTTTTTAAGATTCGGCATAAATGAAACAAGCGCTGCAATAGGGCGCGAAATCAAAGAGACGATTGATGAACTCACGAATTTAAGTACCTTATCTATCGGCTGTTCACTAGCAGAGTATAAATGTTTACTTCTGGATGAAAGTAACGATAGAAAAATTATCTCGCCATCGGATACAAACAGTATTGGGCAAATTTATCTTGCAGGTATTATCTCTTATACTCTAAAGATTATAAAATTTTGCCATCCATATATTGACAGGTGCCGGTCTTTTCAAGTGTTATTACAACAATCCTGGATTGACCAGTACGAGCCGGGTCATAATCGATAATGAAGAGTATTTCAAGACAGGTGATCTCGCAAGATACAATGCAAAAAATGAACTTGAGTATATTGGATGTATCGATTTTCAAATAAAAGTTGATGATCAACTAGTAGAAACAGCCGATATTGAGAGAACAATCATAGCCTGCTGTCCAAATGAAATCTCCAGTTGTCTTGTGGTCAAATTATCCCAAGAAGAAGATTTACTCGTAGCCTATATCATCAGCGATAGCTCACAGCTTGCTACTGAATCAATTAGAGATTATTGCAAAGATCGTCTACGTAAATACATGGTTCCATCCTATTTTGTTGTCCTCAACAAATTCCCACTGGATACAAATGGACAAGTGGATAGAAAACAATTACCATTGCCTTCATCGATTGGTTCAGAGTTCGACGTTTGCCTCCTTGATAGAACCGTTTCCGAAGGTAAAATTCTTTTTCAAGTGAGGGTGTGGAGTGTGGATGAAGAGAAGGGCCACACCCACACCCTCAAGCGTCAATTATATTTTTAATCAACTGAAAGTGCGAGCTATACTGCACTTTTCTCCATATAAACCAAAAAATACAACTTTATAATAAGGATGTCGTTTTTTGTGCTTGATATTCCAAACAAAGTATCAGATTTCAGTGACGAATAGAGTGCAAACTAATGCACTTGTGAATACATATTAAATATAATCAATAGGAAAAGAATTTAGAAAAAAATTATCTTTTTTTATGATTTTGTTCAGTACTGTATATGATTCTTTTTTTCTGAGATGCATTAAAGTTCTAATCATAAAAAGAACATACATAGATAACAGAATTTATTTTTTAAATTCCATCATGTCTCAATAAAGCAATAAGCACCAAAATATTTATTTAAAAAATCCTACTAAATTTCAAAGAAAAAATTAATCCCAATATTTATTCAGAAAATTCAAATGAATCTTAATAAATACTGGGATTTCTTTTTGAAATAACGAAAAAATAAGCCTCAGCGAGTTGGTGAAAATTTCAAATACAGAATTAGAAATCGTTACCTTGAACTATCCGCAGTTGTTCGACAAGCTCTAGTCATTTGCATGTTTTTCGAAAAAGGGAATATTTACTAACATAATGAAAACAGTGGACCTGCTTAGTTTTAATCAAAAGTGAATTCAGGAAAATTTTGTAGGGGTATATGAGATCGATCAAAAATTAAGCGATGCTTCTCTAGGCAACTGCTCATAGTTTGTTTTTTCGCTATTGATTTGAGCTCAAAGAAAGTGTGACCGTATTTCTAGATCTATGTTTTGATACACGCTGACTTTCTCCTCTGTATTATATGAGCAGATTTAACAAAGAGAAAACAAGCTATTATTATGAAAAATAAATATTCAACTATCTTTTTATCTCGAAAACTACTGTTCTCTAATAGAAATCGAAGCTTTTCCTTGTTGTTTTCTACAAATATCTAATGTTTTCGTATAAAATTATTTCTCTTCTCTTTCAGTCGTTTCAGATAAATAAGTTTGAGTCAGATAGGAAGAAAATTTGACAAAAAGACAACAAGTCGCAGTTTTTCTTTCATATAATTTAGTTGACAATGTTATTTTATATATACTAAAATATAGCAAACAATTTTTTTTTCAGTTTAAAAAAACATAAGATACTACATCTCATTCCTTTTCTGTTACTCTAAACTCTTGAACTTCATGATTAAGAACAACATGGGGAGATAAGGCGCAGGTTCTTTTAAATTGTCAAAAGACTGATTGTTATAGATTAGCCACGCAATGGATAACTTTGGAAAATATTTGTTAAGTTTTTCCGTACAAATTAAAGTCTCACAGTGGTACCGATTGTAACGATAAAGATGGGACCCTGTTTTGGGGTTGATATATTAAGACAAACTGCATAGAGGTGGAGCAGCTTACCGTCACTAACGGCAATGACGTTTATTTGCTTCTTCACGTAACCAGAGTGCAACTACTTCATACATAACACACGTATATATAGGAGAGAGATATATTATAACAGTGGAAAGAGAATCATCGAAGCGTGCCATCAATATCGGCATACCGATCATTTGAATAGCAAGAATAATTTGTTAACGAATAAGCATATTGTCGAAATATATCTACATTAATAAGTTGAGCTTGAAATTGATGGTAAAATCGGTCTATATTGTTACTTACTTAATTTGTAGGCACACGCCGATGTTGGTCGTCGTTACCTTCCATTCCAATTCGACCATGCAGCAATATTAATTGCTTGATCATGGGTAAACGCCCTTTGACAACTGAAAATAATAATATTAATAAGATAAATAAAAACATTTTTCATGCATCATTACCAACAATTATTAATATCTCAAATGATGTTGAATGTATAAATAAACATGATCCTCTTCTTAGTGAACACGATTCAACAAATGTTTTATCGAATTTGTCTAATTCATGTAATCTCGAAGAGCGAGATGAAAACAAATTACCATTTCCAGATTTTGTTGAAAAAGCTTTTTATTTCCTTCGACAAACAACACCACCACGTTACCAATGTTTAAAACTTATAACATGGCCATGGTTTGATCTTATAAGTATGTTTGTTATTTTAATTAATTGTATTACACTTGGTATGCATCAACCATGCACACATCAAAGTGACATAGAATCATCCAAAAAATGCGATACAACATTTTGTATCTATCTTCAAACAATAGATTATTATGTTTTTGCATTTTTTACCATTGAAATGTGTCTCAAAATGATAGCAATGGGAATATTTGGCAAAAAAACTTATCTTGCTGAATCATGGAATCGGCTTGATTGTTTTATTGTTCTTACCGGGTATGATCATATCAACTATTGTCTCGAACAAAAACAAAAGTCAAAATTTTCTTAAACAAAATTGATCTGAAATTTGACGAGTTTTAATTATAAAAATTATTGAAAGTGACAAATAAATTTTGTTCAGGACTTTAACAGAGTTTCTATTGATTTTAAGTGATTTGAAATTAATATTGATGCATTAAGAACAAAATTTCTATACAAAAATCGACTTTGTTTTTGCAGGAACATATCAAATATATATATATATATATATATATATACAAGAGACAATAAAGTATAGAGATGAGAATAAGAAATCGTTAACTATTAATTATTTAGATTAGCGGAATTATTGATACCAGGTGATTATATAAGTCTATCAGCTATTCGTACAGTTCGAGTACTTCGTCCATTACGTACGATTAATCGTGTACCATCGATGCGCATTATTGTTTTGCTTCTACTCGATACACTACCTATGCTTGGCAATGTCCTTCTACTGTGTTTCTTTATGTTTTTCATTTTTGGTGTTATTGGTGTAGAATTATGGAAAGGATTATTACGTAATCGTTGTTTCTTAGAATTGAATACTACAATTATAGCTGATTATTCATTATTCGGGTATGTTTATCGAAAATTAAATATTACGTCTTTTTTATTTCTTTTTCTCTCAAGGGATTTTCATTTCGAATCATTTTATATTCCTCCTGATCAAAGTTCATTTATTTGTTCTAAGCCATCATCAAGTGGAATGACAAAATGCTCAGATATTCCACGTTTACGCCAAGATAATAAGACTTGTGACTTTAATTTCAATTCATTGAATTTAACATCAAAAAATCAAACAATAAATGAATGCATTAATTGGAATCAATACTATCGATCATGTGCGACTTCTGATCAAAATCCATTCTCTGGATCAATTAGTTTCGATAATATTTTTTCAGCATGGCTTACTATCTTTCAGGTTCGTTTCTTGTTTATTGGTTAAATATTTCTATGCTCACTTTTCTCAATCAATTAGATAATTACTTGCGAAGGTTGGGTTTCTATCATGTATTATGTACAAGATGCACATTCATTTTGGGATTGGATTTATTTCGTATCGCTTATTGTTATTGGTTCATTCTTTATGATGAATCTTTGTCTTGCTGTTATTTCGGCACAATTTGGTGTAACGAAAAGACGCGAAACAGAACGAATGTTAGCTGAACAAAAACGTTTAACTGAGCTAAACCCTACAGCAGTAACAAATGATCGGCCAGGTTCTTGTTGGAAAGAATTAGTTAAATATGTGAATCAATTATCGAAACGACTATCTAAAAGATTATTCTACAAAAATTGTCGACAGAAATCTGATAAAGTAAGTAATTATGACAAAAAAGTGTCTAAAAGCAAACGATTGAAGTTCTGTGTTTCAAATAATAAATCCTATAGTCATTCAAGTAAACATTATAAACTATAGGATAATCTAAACAATCGTTTGGGTTATAAATTTAATTATTTTTTTATATTTTCATTCCCAGGTCAAAGAAACACGTTCGTAAAAGACCGGCTCAGTTAGTTTTTTCGCCTTTTGTCAGCATACCATAAATGATCGTAATGTTCGAAATGATTTCTAACTGTAGAATAAATAGATAACATTGGCTACTATTCATTCATATCTAAGATACTCACTATGGTTCGCTGATAAAACAGTGCAGATTGGTACTTGCAGTTTTTTTTAAATTCTATCTGACGGATGATATCAGATCTTTTTCTTACGATTACCTAGAGCATGCCTTTACTTTTCACCAGCATTTATTGACTATTGGAACAGTAATCAGATTGCTTAGAAAATGTTGTTCCGTGTAAAAACAACATTTGTGTTCCATTGATATTTGTATATGTAGGAGAAAGAAGATTGAATAGTTATTTGTTTTTAAAAAGGTTAATCACAGACACACTCGAAGAGAAAAAACAAAAAAAGATGTTTCAATATCAGATATCAATATAGTCTCATTGGCTCCACTAATTAACCAAAAACATCGATCAAATTGTCCACATTATCAATGTCAACCCTTAGTAGTATCAACAACGATTGATTATGGCCATGATACTTATGAAATTGGTCCAGACATCGTTGGTTCACGATCAGAAAATAATAATTTACCCAATGAAAGCAATCGACGAATAAATGAAAATCTAGAATTTGAACAACAAGAACAACAAACCGATAGAAATGATGTATGTGATTGTTATGATCAAGATAAAGGTGTTGATACATCTGAAAATAGCCAAGAAGAAAACTCAAACTTTCATCGTGAATGTATTTGTGGTTGTTGTTCACTCTTAATGGTAATACAAAAATTCATTGCACGTATTGTTGCTAATAAATATTTTAATCGCATTATTTTCTCGGCTATTATTATAAATGCACTGTCAATGGCTATTGAATATCATGGTCAACCAGAATCGTTAACAAATGCATTAGAATATAGCAATTATGTTTTCTTAATATTATTCGCAATTGAAATGCTATTTAAAATAATTGCTGGAGGTATTTTTAAATATCTTTCAAATCCATTTAATATATTTGATGGTAGCATCGTTATAATTAGTTTTATTGAACTATATGGACAACAAAACAGTGGACTATCTGTTTTACGTACATTTAGATTATTACGTGTAATTAAAATTGTTCGATTTTTGCCAGAATTAAGACGACAATTGGTAAGTTTAATTATTCATTGAATATCAATAAAATATTGATCGAAAGACCAACAACAGAACCCAGGAGAATCAGGACCTACAGTCGAATCCTTGGTATTGGATCCGATGTCGGATTTTAACGGAATCCAACTCTATCGAATCACCCTTGCGCTCCCAGGTCGAACAATACGGACCGTATAATGGGCGCAGTATTACGGACCGTACGATGCTTACATTTGCGTCGTATACGGTCAAGATTTCACAGTATATGGCTCCCCGTTTTACGGTGCTCCAAACCAGTCTCGGTTTACGGCCGTATTTGACCCGTAACTAACANTGAAAAACACTTCTTTTTTTCCACGGAACCTTTAAAGGTTCTTCCCCTGGATACACTGGAAGAACCTTTTGCTACGAAACCTTTTTTTAAGTTCCGTACATCAGAAAATGGTTTCACAAGAAAAATACGAAACCTTTAGGGTTCAGAATTGAATTCTATGATTTAGTACGAAACCATTGGGGTTTAGTAAGAAACCATTAGAATTCAATTCCGAACCCTAAAGGTTTCGTATTTTTCTTGCGAAACCATTTTCTGATGTACGGAACTTAAAAAAAAGGTTTCGTAGTAAAAGGTTCTTCCAGTGTATCCAGGGGAAGAACCTTTAAAGGTTCCGTGGAAAAAAAGAAGTGTTTTTCAGACAGTATGATACATTTGGATGCTTTTTCAAATCTACCGAACCTTTTTCCAGGGCTCGGTGGAAAACCTATTTTTTTTAGAGTGTAGGATTCGATAAGATCTGTTGTCAGATTCATTCACCTGGGAAGGGAAACGCTGTTAACACAATTCCTACAGGATTAAAATGTAAAACATGATAAAAACTGCCTTACAGAGAGCTTATCATATGGTCTGTATGGGATAGGTGCAGCTTGCAAAATTTCGTTTCGGTTGTGTTTCAAATTTCCAGTTATATACATATCGCCACATGTTTCTATATTTGTCCATTTGCTATCTAGATTATCATGGTTAAAACGCTAGATAATGTCGCAGCATTTCTCTTATTATTAATACTGTTCATATTCATTTACAGGTAAGTCTATAGAAAACTATATATTTTCATTCTTGCTCTCCCTCATTCACTCCTCTTAACAACTCTGAGAACGGATTATTTTTTTTCTCAAGTAGAATATCTAAATAGAACAGTGTAAACAACTACATACGTCCCTAATCCACTCTCCCCCGACGAATCCTCTGGGAGTCCCCGCAAATGAACGAAATCCCTAGGGACTCCCTGGGGATTCTTCTAGAGAGAGTTGATTAGGGGTGAAATAAACCATTGGTTTATAGTCCTTGGAATAATCATAACTACATACACAGGGTTGTCACCTGATGAAGTCTAAGAAGCGAACGAGGTGGCAAACCTGCACATATACTTTATTTTACTCGTATTTTTTTGTGGAACTAACATATATTTTCGAAGAAAATGGTGAGTGTAAGTTTAAAAGCGAGATTTTTGCGGGGGGGGGGG